TGGTCCAACAAGAGACCATACTAAGCAAACGATGTTTGCTGATACTGGACCGTGCTTGACGTGCTATATTAGTCTAGTTGGGGAAACCCCATGTTGTTTGGACTCTAAGAATCATACCGATGAGAGTTATATGAGTTATCCTTTGATGAGGTCGGAGTATGCCCATATGAGTGATCCGAGGGACTGCGTGACCTTTGTGTATGATGGAGGCCTTCAGGGACAGGGCTAAAAACCTCATCATTTGTGTCATCACATGACATGCACATCGATAGCTGTTTTTGAGAAAACGTATCACCTTTTAGAGTTAAGCATGTGCATGTGCGAGAGATATCCCTTGTGCACCATTAAGCTATGGATTGCATCAGGTCAGAATGACCTTGTGTTTTGTCGTTCGGGGGGGGGGGGGGGAACTTGAAATCCATATACTGGGATTGTGATCCCTTGCCCATTGGCTAAACTTTGGTGACCCACTAATGATCCCCTACATAGACCGTGGGTAATGGGCAATGCTGGGTTGATTTGAGAAAGCATGTGTGGTTCGTAGTTCGCAGTTAGACATGGAGTGCCCTAGTGGATATTTATTATTAGACCATATACATCATTTTCCCATCAAGATTTTATTTTTTTTTATTTTAATTGTATTTTATTTTTAGAATTGTTATTTGAGTTTTTTCTAAATCTCTAGATATTTTATTTATCAAATTTGGATTTATAAAAATAGAGATATTGATTTTGTAATGATTTAATTATTCAAATAATGATTTTGTATATTTTCAAAATTATAAAAATAACTTAAAATACATAGGAAACCCAATAGGTCTTTGAGCCTACTATTGCATGTTGGGTGGGGCCCAATATGTGCTACCATAGGTGGCATGCCCAACCTATGCCATCTTTCTTATTTGGTGTTTAAGCTTTAAAGCTTGAGAGAAAGGTTTGTGTTATTTTGCAAAGTTGGAAGCCTTGAGGAATATTTGATTGATATTTTGGAATATGTGAGAAGGTTTATGGATAAAAATAATAAAAGATAATAATACGATATGCTAATTTCTTATTTAAATTAATTGATGGGAAAATGGTTTAGAAAGTGGGGGTTAATGGTCTAGCACCTTTAATAAAATGTTAATGGCCCATCTATATAACGAAGAACTCAAATCTCTCACACCACAAGTTACACACGATTAATGGTTCATATTCAATTTCATGTAAGTGACAAACCAAGAAAAACCCTAAGAAACCCTAATCTTGCTGAAGCACTATAAAAAGGGGAATACCCTACCCAAAATCTCTACACCTTAACTCTTCCATATACTTTCTATATCGCTCTCTCTCTCTTAACCTACCAAAGAGGCACGCCCCACTTTGAAATGTCTCTCTCTTTCCAATATAAACTCTCTCTCTCTCTCCTCTCTTTTGAAAGCCCTAAGGGAGAGCATGCCCCACTATCTCTCTCATCTATAGTGTCTCTCATGTCTTATTCTCTCATGATATCTCATCTCTCTTTTGGGGTTTTAGACTATAGGGTTGTGATAGAAAAGAGAAGTATCTCTCTCAAACTAGATTGCTAAGGGATTCACCTGGGGTTTGAGTTTGTGATCAAAGAGATTCATGTTCCATTGGTGTGGCTTATCCAAACTTGCTTTCTCGGTTGAGATTGAAGGTTGACCATTAGATCTCGCGCCATCCGAAGGTGGTGATTCGGTATAGGTGTAAAAAGCCCGGTTGAGGTAATCCCTGACACATCTTTTATTTTTTCCATATTTATTTATTATATCATTTATTTCCAAGTATATGTTGTGTCTTTTCTTTTGTTAATGAAAAGTATGGCTTGAATGACTTCAAGTTTATGAGATCTTATAGTATTACTTTATTTTATATTATTTGAAATTGTTATATTGTAAAAGGACTTCTTGTGAGTGATCTAGACCATGAAGAAAAGAAAAGAATTGAAAAAGAAAGAAAAACAATTATTATATACTCCGTCTAGATCACACATGTCATTCTTTTACTTATATGGTCATGGAGGGAAGAATAATAGAGGATATGAAAAGGTACATAGGGGGATATGGGCTTGATGAAAGAAATGAGATATGTGAGGCGATTCTAGATTTTGTTACGGCGTATGACCTAGAAATTGTAAACACTTGTTTTAAACTGCGAGATAGACATTTAATAACCTACAAAAGTAAATCAACTTAAAGTTAGATCGACTTTTTCCTAATTAAGAAGATAGATCGACCATCATGTAAAGATTGTAGGGTTATCCAAGGAGAGAGTTTGACTACCCAACATATACTCGTGGTTATAAACATTTTCATGAAAACATGGAAGAGAAGAGGTGAAATTAATAGGTGTCCGAACTAGGTGATGGACTTTAAAAAAAAAAAAAAAGATTTATTTAAGGATAAATTAGTTAAATAAAGAAAATAAAACTCTGAACATGAGGTTAATGATATATAGAATAAGATGATTGACAATATAAGAAAGTAGCCAAAGAAGTTTTATGAGAATCTAGAAGAAAAACAATTTTCGATAAATAAACTTGGTGGTGGAGTGATGAGGTTTAGAAAACCATTAATGAAAAATAATTATGCTATAAAATTTGACAGTGTAATAGCAGTGATCACAACTTAGAAGAATATAAAAATGCTTAGAAAAATGATAAATAAATAGTTAGTAAGGCTAAACTTAAGGCATATAATAATTTCTACAATAAATTGGCAGCAAGAAAAGGTAAAAAAGATATCTTCAAATTAGAGAAAATGAGAGAGAAAAAATGTAGAGATCTAGACCATATTAAATGCATTAAGAGTGATGATCAAAGGGTCTTTGCGACGGATGAAGATGTCAACAAAAGGTGACGAATTTTTTAAAAAAATTATTATGTAATGAACTTAATGGGAACATAGCTATTGAAGGAATTGTTGGCATAAATGAGGGCATAGATATATTCGTAATAATAGGATATTGGAAGATAAATGATCTTTGAAAATGATAAAGTTATAAAAGGCTTTAGGACTAGATGTTATCCCAATAGAGGTTTGGAAGTGCATGGGGGAGATTGGTATTGACTAGTTGACCAAACTGTTCAATAAGGTATTGAGAACAAAGAAAAATCCAGACGAATGGAGGAAAAATATTGTGGTACCTATTTATTTGAACAAATGAGACATACAGAATTGTGCGAATTATCAACTAATTAAACTTATGAGCCACACTATGAAGCTTTAGGATAGAGATTGAGCAACAACTAAGGCATAAAATGAGTGTATCAAAAAACCAATTCGATTTTATGCTAAGGAGATCAACAACCGATGCTATTTTTGTACTTGAGCAATTAATTGAGAAGTTTAGAGCGAACGAAAAAGGCCTCCGCATAGTCTTTATTGATTTAAAGAAAACATATGATAGAGTACCTCGAGATTTGGTTTGGTGGGTGCTAGAAATGACTACATCAATTTGGTGAGAGATATGTACGATTGAGTGTGTATGAACAACTAGTGGAGAGGCAAGTGAATTTTCAGCGACAATTGATTTACATCAGGGGTCATCATTGGGCCCATACATCTTTGTCATAATTATTGAGGACTTAAATAGGCACCTAGAAGATGAGGTACCGTGATGCATGTTGTTTGCAGATAACATAGTTTTGATCAATGAGACCTGAGGTACCATGATGCATGTTGTTTGCAGATAACATAGTTTTGATCAATGAGACCTTAAGCAATGTAAACATAAAGTTAGGATTTTAGAAGGATGCTCTAGAATCTAAAAGTTTTAAAATTAGCCAGACTAAGACAAAGTATATAGAACGCAAGTTTAATAATAATAAGAATAGAGATGAGAAAATAATTAAATTGATAGCCCGAAGATACTAAAAAAGGTGCAATTTGGATTTCTTGGATCGATAATTTAGGAAAATAGAGAAATTAAGGAAGATGTCTCACGTAGAATTAGAGCTGAGTGGGCGAAGTAGAAATGTGTAACCGAAATTTTATGTGATCGCCGTATACCAATAAAGCTGAAAGGCAAGCTCTATAAGATAACTGTTACATCCGCTTTGCTTTGTACCGTGTTGATGAGAGAGTAGATGAGAGAAAAAAGAAGAGATTTCGGGGTTCAGAAGAGAGATGGAGATAAAGAGCAAATGTGATAGAGTACAGGTATAGAGAGAATGAGAGTACAGATGAGAAAAAGAGGAGATTAGAACGGGACATACCTGGTTAAGGTTTGACACGAGGAAGGAGGAAGAAGGGAAACTGGGGTGGCTAGGGTTTTGTGAGTCCAACTGGAGGGAGAAGGGAAGCTCGGGCAGCTAGAGCTTGGACACGCAAGGAGAGAAAAGGGTAGGATTTCATTTGGTTCTTTTTATCGAGCAAAAGCTTTTGAGGTGACATTCTTATCCAAATAACTATCGGAGACTTTCGGTTCTTCGCCCCCCGTCCAGGAACAATTTTCCCATTTTAAAACGCAAAAGGAACGTTGTGTGTAAAAGTTTTAAGTTCCAGTACTATAGTTATTCATGCGTTTCAAACGCGGAAGTGCTACATTGTCCAATAAACTTATCGTTTTGAACTTTCCCGAAAACAAACACATCCAGATAGAGCAGAGATTTCTAGTAAGAGTGGCATTGGGCTGGTCGGACTCCTTTCACTACAAAACTAGGGTTTGGGCTATGAGGGCGAGGCAATCACGGCCTGAGGATAGGCCCGGGATGGGCCATGCTCTTTTTCTTTGTTTTCTCTTTTGTTTTCTTAATAAATTTATTTAATCCGGCCTGGTCTAGCCCGACTAGTGCCCGCCCTATGTGGACTAGGGCCGATCTAGGGATACGGGTGGCCAGGCTCACGCCCGGCTTGTTACCACCCCTGATGTTTAGAGTTCTGAGGAGGAGGGAGAGGAAGAAAAGTAGCCAAACCTTAGCCACATGGTCAAAGGCCCTCTCCCTCTCTTCTCTTTTTTTATTTATTTTTATATTGTAAGCCCGTGCTGGCTCGGGCTTGTACTAATGGTGTCAAGGATGGCAGGGCCTGACCCGAAAATCAAATTTTTTTGGGCGCCGAGCCCACAGGCAAAAATTATGGCTTCTTCTCTAGCCGGCCGGAACCGCCTGGTGGCGCCCCTAGCTGGAGGCCTGCGGCTTACGAAAGTTTAACATTCGCCTCCGTCCACTAAACGAAGAGTCTTAAATACCAAAAAAATATTCCCACAATCCCTAATACCTTTCAAAGTCCCCATTAAAATGCCTACGCCTCCGCCATGGTGGCAATAGGAATCGCCTCGAGGATCCGACTACAAGAGCAAGAGCGAGGGCCAGAGCGTCCAAGGGGACAAAGTAGTACGGTCTTGAAAGAAATTTACAGTTGGAAGATGCGGCTTAATGCCAAATAACATGCTTTACTTCCTGTGGAGAAGCGGAGTCTGCTGAATGAATCATATTCAAGATTATGGAGAAAGCGGAGAAGTGCTTATATGAAGGTCCACCTGTTGTCAGCTTGGAAGAGCTCATCTCCATGCTCAAAGACGACGGGGATTTCGACCGCCTGCGCCACAAAATCATCCAAACCCTCAAAACCAATGTCAGTCCCTCTCTCCCTCTGTGTTTTTTCCTTTCACAAATACAAATTCGTTTCAACTGCTAGAGTTTTAGATTGGGGTTTCTGCAGAGTCTATAAGTGGCTTATCCTGACATCCACCTGTAATTTGGTTCTTCAAATGGATTTTCATGTTTCTTACAGTTGTCTCGTCCCTAATTTCAAGATATTTAGTAGACTACTACCACATGATCTCCAAAGATACATGTGCAAGAACAAAATCTCTCTCTCTCTCTCTCTCTCTCTCTCTCAACATTCCTATTCGGTTGCATCGGCATTGTCCTATTAAAAGGGGAAATTTGGTTGATAAAAGTGCTTGCCAATGTCTATTGTATTCCACTTCCCTTGAGTCTAGGATATCTGGAAATTTATGGATATGAAGACACATGAGGGACTAGTCTATATATCCTTTTTTTTTTTCTTTTTTATATAGTCAATCTCTAATTATGAGATGATGGCTAATGATGGGGAAAAGTATTCTTTGAAAAGTTGGAGTGAGTTGACTTGACCTGGCCTACTCAATTTGGTGGGCCCAGTTCGGACTTTTAAAACGTCCATTATTGTGTCCTGGGACTATTTTATTATATATGGTACATGTTTACTATACAAAGGCTCCCAATTTTCAATAGAGAAAATCTGCTTATTTCTTTCGATCGTATGCAGCAGAAACACAAAAAGTTGTAAGGATCATATAGATGTTACATACCTTTTTAGAGTCTGATTGCCCTCCTGTGGTTGGTGCCAGTCTCCTAATCTCTCTTTGTTTTTTGATGTGTACGATTCCTCCATGTTGAAAGTTCAATGCCCCATCCGTAGGTCGACTTTTAATTATTAGAACTAATAGCACAATTTACACTAGGCAAATGTTGTTCCTTTGATGGAGATGGCAAAGAGAGGTGGTACATGGCCATACCACTAAAATAATCATGTACATTTTTTTCTTTCTAAAGGTTTCTTTATATAGAGGAGTCCAATATCTTGCTCAAGTGAATATGTTTTCCAACTTTAATGGGATTCCTTATAAACACCTTTATATTTAAATAGAAAGTTTCATCATATGAGATTTTGTCTAACCTGGACAATATATCACATACCAATTGGGTCGTCGATCCACAAGAGGTGGACCAAAAAACCGATATAAACCACTCGTCTTCATAATAAGACATAGCGCAATGCTACCCACATAGGATTCCTCATGCATGCTATGTCTTACTTTTGCTACAGGGCACTATCCATAACAGAATTGGAGTACTTAGCTTGTTGTGTAGCATCATAAGATGGCATGTGGCTTAGGAGGATCCTGCAAAGCAAGGGGATCATATTGAGTGTTGGACAGCCTATAAGCATTTTTTGCTGCAACATGGCAGTACTTGCTTCCGCAAAGGATCCTGAGTATGATAGTAAGACATAACATGTAGAGATTGGGTATCACTGTGTATGAGGTTTCACTGAAAGCAAAGAGAAAGTCACGATCTCCATTGCCACAAGCAGGATGGTAACAGGCCCTCTAAGTTTATAGCTTGAGAAAAGCATTAGTCTCATGTCAAGGAATTCGGACCTAGGAGTCCCTAATTGGTTTTCCACACCATCATTATTTTCCAACTCTTTTCCTCCATGGATATTGTTTTGGAATGGTAAAACTACCATTTATTTAGGAGATTCATAGTAATGTGCTTTGTTCGATGCTGATACATATGATTTTGATGCCATTCACACATGCACTAAGACATGTTCATTGTGTGATGAATTGTTGGATTTTCGCATAGAACTGATCGTCCTCAAACGAGACATTGAAGGATGAGACACACAAGGTATATAAGTATTGCCTCTATAAGTGGTCAAGATGAGATTCTATGGTTGAGAATCGACATGATCCACATGACATCCCATCAAATCATATAGCCTATATGAGAACCAGGTGTGAGCATTAGTTATGTTCAAGTCACTTGGTTGCAGCTCTGAGCCGAATTGGTTGCGGTAGGATGTATAGTTGTGACTGAACTAAGACATGCATCGTATAGATTTGACTTAAAACCTAGTATTGTTTTTTATCGTAGCGTGAGACTCATACCACATGTGCTTCGTAAGACCAACATTATCATTAATGTGTATAGGCTGAATCATTTTCCCTATTACACCTTGTGAGAATAGCTGTTCACTTACTTGCCTTAAATGTCCTTATAGACCTAATAATTTATCAGGAAGTTGAGGCTTGGTGTCGCTACTTTAACATGCCATCCTATGGTCATGTATGATTCAACTGGGTGAGAACAAAGCTAGGAAAGCGGTCAAGTCAAAGTGGAATAATACTGGTACTAGGGAAAGACCATTGGCATCACACCATGGTTGGGGCTCAGAGCACTAGTGTGCACCATGACACTCATTTTCCATAGCAATTGGGTTGTTTGCACCGAGAATGTTCTTTTGCAAAAAATTATTTGAAAATGAATTTCTTGCTTGCATGAGAACGATGGTTTTATGGATGAGTTATGCACATGTGCATGATGGGATTGAGTTGTCCTTTGAGCTAAAGAAAAGCTCGCGAGGGATCAAGCTGAGATACACAATCCAGTGTGGCCAAAGGTGTCTAGGGCAAATAGTAGCAATTTTGAATAGAGAGTAGAGGTGTTCCACGTTAGTTATCATGGAGAACTTAATGGGTTCTCTCTGCATAAATGTAGTTGCTCTTTAAGGTCTCAGGGCTCATTTTTTCGTATGTAATGCATGGGGGAGTTTTTGCATTTTAATGTATCATGGGTTGATGATGAGGGAACAATAATGCTCAAGTGAATCCACTGCAGGATGAGTGGGAGATGTTAGTTTTTGGGTTTGCCCCTTGTGGGTGGAGGACTCAATTGGTATTTGATATATTGTTCAGGTTAGAGAGAGAGAGATAGAATCCCATGTGATGAGGATTCTTATTTAAAGATTGGTGGTTATGAGGAATCCCATCAAATTTGGAAAGCGTATCCACCTAAGAGAGATATGGGGCTCTCCTTCTTGTATAAGGAGAACGCTAGAGACAAAAAAACATAATTGATTCTTTTGGTGGAAGGCCCATGTACCACCTCTTTTGGCCATTTTTCTCTAGAGCCCAACGATTTTTTTTCTCCCCTTATTTGTTTTCTTTCTCCTTGGAAACCCTAGAATGAGATAAGTACCACCCAAACCCTACGAATGGACTAGAACTCTTGAGGGTAATCGGACATGTAAAAAGGTATATCAACTCTATCTGATCCTTATGTTTTTTGTATTTCCATTGCGCTGGGATATCCTCGTAGAATCCAATAGCTTTCCTCATCTAGGTATATCTGTTATTATATTTTCTATGCTATAGGCCTAACAAATCCTTCATTATGAATGAGAGTCCTTTTCTCCTTCACCTTAATGGCATCTCCAATTTCCCATCAAATATTAAAAATTGCATAAAAACAATTATCCCATGTCTTAGTTGAATACTCACCTCATCCTTCAAAGAAATGGTTGAGCTTTTTTATAGTGGAACTTCTATTTAAGATGCAGTGGTGGTTGCAATCTATTTTGGGTCAGCTGGTAATGCTTGGTACATGAAATGGATAAAAGTAGCTAATCCATGTTTCATTTGTATTCTCATTTTTCAAAGAAATAAATTCTCCTTTCTTGTCGTGACTTGTGAGCTGGCACTTGTAATTGACATCCAGTGATCATCATGACAAAAAACAATTAGGTCGGCAGTCCTAATGATACTAGAATCGATCTACGCATCTGTGTATCTTTAGCTATTGCATACTAAGTTCATGTGGCTTAAATTCTAGGGGTGGATGTTGGAGCATAAATTGGTATATATGATTGAGATCCTATAACTGATAACATGAAATCATTCGGCCCTTAATACAACCTAGGACGTTTTCTTTTATTGCCGAAACAAATAAACACGATTCAGGAATAAAAACCAATCTTCCACTAACAATTTAAGCACAAAATATGTTTCTGAAAAATAATAGCAAAAATAGAAAAATAAAAGTCAATAGCCAGGAAGACTTACTTGATTGTGCCTAGGGTTAACCGCATCAGACTTGGTATACCTCACACCCGATTGCTTGACTGATGACACACTTTTGATCATATTGATCTTGCTCAGATTTCAAAGCTGGGAAGCTTGTCTAGGTGTAATACTTCTCAAACTAGGGTTTTAAAGAGCCTACAAATGCAAGTAGGGTTTAAACCCCGTAAGAAAGTTTAGGGTATAAAATGAAGATCGAAACTCTTCTTAGGCTGGCGTACCTCTCTCCAAACAATGAAACCCTTGGATTTTGGTGTGCCACCCCCTCTTATTTTATTTTAGGGAGGCGTGCTACTAAGATGGAGAGTTGAGAGAGACATTAAATTGAGATGTGAGAGAGAGAGATTATTTGTGGTCGTGGAGAATTGAGAGAGGTAGGGGAGAAAGAGGCTCATTGTCTAGAGAATTAGAAGGGGGTACACCTTCTTTTATAGGTTACATGCCCCTTAGGTACACCCATCCAATGACATAGCTTGACCAATAGAAATTAAGGAAATCTGTGAGGTGAGAGAGAATAAAATCTGAACCATCCAACCCGTATATCAGCTATCATGATTTAGGGAGGAATATTAGGAATATTATCCTCTTAATATTTGACTCATATCCACTTCTAGTCCAATTAGGATTAAACCAATCAAGAACCTTCTAAAAGTTCCTAATATCTCTTTAAAGGAAATGTAGGATGTCAAAGATAATATAATTTTGGTCAAAACTAACTCCCACAAAAATAGGAACATAACCTTTCCTTTTAAAAGATTATCTTTTCCAACTTAAAAAGCATCTTTATTTAAAACAACCTTTAAAAAAAGAAAACAAGGAGTGGGGTGTGCCACCCGCTATGGTGACATGTGGCCCCATGGGCCCCATGCCCCACCCAGGGTTGGGATCCAAATGGTCCCACATGTCGTCATGATCATCATCCAAGTGTCCCACATGTGCCTTT